TTTCCAGTAATGACTTTGAAAACATAATTCCAAGAAAACTCAATTCTTAATATGAGATATACAAATATATTTTTCAAGTCAAAAAATGTGATACAGATGGGCTCTACAACTTCGAAAATTTGTAAAAATTTAGAAAAGATAAATGCACCAGAAGAAGAATCTGACCTGGGAAGAACCCCAATTACATTTTCTATACAGAAGAACATAAGGAACTAAACATAAAGCCTGACTTATCCAGTAAGCATTCAATAACTACATGTGAGATGAAGAAAAATTCATTATTCAACTAAATATACTAAGTCTCATTGATCAAAATCCCAAGAACATATATTTGGATAACTAAATACATTTATGTTCAGATGAAAAATGTGTTTGCATAATATCAACCACGAAGATTTCTTAGAACATTTATATTTTTGGCTATAAACATTTGTTTTTTATTTGTAAAGTAGGTAATAGGAACTCACTTCTTTGCAAAACTATATGTTTGTATCTGACTTTCACTCATTCATATTATCTCGCGTGAACTAACCTGGTTTATGCAAAGTATCTCTAAGCATTTCATTGGGCAGCTTCTAAACAGTTTGTGGAAATTCATCTGTTCTAACCCTCACACTATATATTAAAGAGGATACTAGCTTTGCAAATATTTTAAATTGTGTTGTTAGGCAATTAATTTGCCTTTTCTCCAATTTCGAGGATTCACCAACTATTTTTTTTGAATCATGGACTTGGGAGAGTTGAAAAAGCAAGCCTGAATAAGTAGAATTCAATTTTTCCCACAATTCCATATACCTAGCCCTCAGTCCTTAAGGTAATCATAATTTAGTAACTTCTCACCTTTTAGGAAGGGAAACGCCACAGGCAGTACTCTGGACAATAGGGCTACGTTTAGTCACACGTAAAATAAAAGCGCTGGAGAGGCTCTGGGGCCCCCACATCCTTTGTGGCCCTAGAACGCTGAACTCCAGAACACTGGGCCAGCGGGACAGAGCCAACACCAACCACTAAGGTAGCCAACCAGCCACTAAAACTCATCCCTTGCATACCTGTAAATATAAAATTAAAATTTGCCGGGAGAGCTTGTCCTATAGAAGAATCACTAAATGTTGGGTTCTTCTGCTTGGTCACCTGCACAGAGAACCCAAATGCTAGGTCGTTGTGTCCTGACTAGCGGTCCCTAAATGCTTTTGACTCATTATCGCCAACAATGAAAAGGTTCTGCTTGTGCAAATTTAAATATATTTATTTATAAATTAAAAATCTATTTCATGCTCATTTATATCATGTATGTTGTGACAGGTAAGGAATGAGGTTGAAGAACACGCAGGAATAGGGATTGTCCTGTTTCCTTCCCACGGTAGACAGTCTTGCTGCATGGATTTTCTTGCTCCTTCCCAAGGATGAGCTCCCTGTCCCAGAGTTCTGGTCTAAAATACCACGTTTTCACTTGCTGCTTATGAGATGGTCCTGATAGTCACACCAAGGCTACAACCTGTATCCTAAACATTTATACATCACTTTCCAAAACGTACTTCTTTTCCCTTAATAACACCGCAGTTTGAAGACTGCAGTTCTTGAATGTGTCTTCCAAGAAGTTCCGTACAGCAGTGTGATCGAACCCTAATCCTTGTCGGGGCGGGGTGTGCTGGCTTGAGAATGACGCCAGCCAGTGAGTATGCGCTATGAGAGGTGCAACTTTGCTCTGTTTGGATATTTATAGACCAATGGAAAGATGAGTAGGTTTAAGGCACAGCAATGCCCCTTGTTTTTCCCCAGCAAAAATATCACAGTGAAGTGGAAACACTATCTGTAGGGACATCTACTAGCAAGACAGAAGGTTCTAAAACAGTCAACAATGCGTATTTCCCAGGTGCGGTGCTTGCCTTAACTCAATGGCTAATTTTACGTTATAGTCACAAAACACCCAGAAGCAAAGACTATTTTTAGGATGAACCGTATAAGGCAATTCTTTCCCAAGATCTTTAAAAAAGTACTCCTAATTTTTGTTTTTCTGAAGACTTTTGCAAAGGGCACACATTTCCTACCCAGCCTTCCCCAGACGCCTGTTGCCTCATCCATATTCTCCTGCCAAACCACGCCCTGAGAACAGGGCTCCGCTGGAAAGACTGCAATACCAGGAGCAGTGGTCCACAGTCTCACAAAGACCAAAACAGCTACAAAATACATGAGTGAAGGAGCTAGGATAAGTCAACCAAACTAATGTCGATCTGCCTCTTCTCTCATTCACATTTCTCAGCCGTGTGTCACTTCCGTCATAGCAAATGACTTCGCTAATTATTAGCCAAGTGTACTTCTGCCATTTTTCATTATTTCCTCTGTAAAATTAAAATAACGAATTCAAAGAGGTCTACAAAAACTAAAACCCTAGTAATAAAAAAGACGTGTGTTACACTAAACTCAATGCCATGTGAATGTCACTTTGTTACCGCCCCCCCTCGATACTCTGCCCCGACTCTAAATTGCAGGTCACTGAGACACATGAGATGTTTTCATTGAATGTCTCTCTGCGGGCAGTGCAGACTGGATACTAATGAAACCCACATGATTTAGTCAGTTTCAGAGTGTTGAGCTCCTAAGGTAAGTTGAAAAAAATTGTTTTTCATCTTCTACAAAACCATAAAGTAAAAATATTTGTCCCTTTTCTTCTAAGCCAGTTTATACTGTGGTCACAAATGTGCGACATTATTTTAGGATTCTACCCACTTCAGTTATTTTTATAATTTGGGGGTTTTTTTGAGTCTCAGACCATGTGGGCCTCTGGACTGATACCATCTGCCAATTGTTGAAAATAACAAATACATTGTATTATATCATTAAAATTTGCTGAGAGAGTAGAACTTCAAGGTTCTTGTCCCCCCAAAAAGAGGGGGGGATATATATGTGAGGTGATGGATGTTTTAATTAACTAGATGTTATAAAATACCAAAATGTACACTTTGAATATCTTACAATTTTATTTATCAATCATATCTTAATAAATCTGAAAAATAAATAAAACTTTGCACTGCTATAAAAATAAGCATTAAAAATTTGAAAAATATTACAAGCAATACAATGATGTCGGCCTAAAAATAAAAGCTGTATCACCTAATACCTAGTTTTTAAACCTAAAAACTAGTTTCTTAATACCTAAAGCTAGTTTTTATGAGATGTTGTTAATTATGTTTATAAAATGGTACAAGAGGCTAAGATTAACATACCACAAGTATAAGTTTTCTTACCAGCACTGTGTCTCACTTTCTCCTGTATTAATACACTTTCCACTTCTACTTAAGCCAATTATACAGCTTTGATGAGAAGTAGAAAAATGGGTGTTTTAGGACAGAATCTCTTAACGCGGACATGCAAACATCTGAGATTCTCCTCTCCACATACTGCTAATTAGAAAGCCAAAAGATCTCCAGCAGAGCGTGTGCCTCCCCCACCCCACGCCCCGCCCCAGGCCCTCCAGCCAGCACCCAGAGGTGCGCACAGCATTTCTGACCAAAGCAAAGTTCCACTCAGGAAAACATGCTTACCTTCAAGGATATTATATATTCCCCAGAAAGGAAGGCCTTGCCAAATTACATTTACTAACCAATCAATAAAAACATGCGCACTGTCAGCTTTCTCTGAGATTTCATAGAACTACAAAATATATTCTCTTTCTGAAAATATTTAAGTAAGAAGTTTGGGTGAAGAAGGAACTGTAAATAATCAGAAAGTATAAAACTCTTCTAAAATTAAATTCGGCTGGTGGGTTTACTCTGGAAAATTTAATGGCACATTCCTACTATAATATTTGGCATGTTTTTCTAATATTCCAAACTAAAAGAATGGCTTAGTTTTTCAGGAGGTGGTCAAAATAACCCATGTTAGTACATGACTACATTACTTTTAACACGATTATAATCTATTTAAAACTGAAGTCGGAACAATAATAATTAAATAATATAACAGGGGGAAAAGAGGGTTGAAATGATAGAAATGTTCAGTCCTGAGAACTATAACAATAAATCAAATAGCAGTTGAAAGAACATACAGAAGGGATACAATTTTAAAAATGAATAAAGAATGTGGACACTGGAGCTAAAGCCAAAAATATTGTCCTCAATTCTTTCAATAAAGAATTGAAAATTTAAAAAGATAAATATCTTAGAGAAAAGAAGTTTTTAGTAGCTAAGAGCATCTTCTAAAGTGTACATGTGTTTTTTCAAACTAAGACATAAAACGGTCTAAGAAAAAAGAGCAAAGATTTAAACTGAAATTCTTGTAGTGCTAAAAAAATAAGGGACTGATGTTAGGTTTCTGAAAATAGGCTAGGAATGTAAAATTCTGAACAGCCAGCAACCAAATTTCTTTCATAGAATAAACAATAAATGTTCAACTGCACCCATCTGCTTACCTCCACTGTTATAGAATGACTTTTTTTTTTTAGCTCTGTCACTATTACAGATTGAATTGTGTCTTCCAAAAACATACATACATTGAAGTGCTAGCCCCCGTGACTTTGGAATGCGACTTAATTTGAAAATGAAGTCCTTGTAGATGTGTTAGTTATGATGAACTCATCCTCGGCAAAAGTGGACTTTTAATCCTGTAGACTGGTATTCCTTTTTTTAAAAAATATGATTGCTATCCTCCTAAGAAGAGGCAAATGTGGACACAGGGAGAAAGCCACAGGCTGACAAAAGCAGCGATGGGAGTGATGCGGCTGAAAGCCACGGATCAGTGAGGACTGATGGCCTCCAACCAGGAGCTGGACAGAGATCGGGAAGGATTCTGCCCGAGTCTCAGAGGGGTCAAGCTGCTGCTGGCACCTTGATCTTGAACTTCCACGAGATAATGGATGTCTTTTGTTTAAAGCCACCCAGTTTGTGGTACTTGGTTATGGCAACCTTAGGAAACTAACACAGTCCCTCTGCTGTACTGCAAACCCAAGTGAAGTCTAAGGTCCAAGGGTTAGGACAGCAGTGTTGGTGCCAGGAGAAACTCACCTGCAACGTAGTCGCCAAATCCAATGGTTGTTAAAGTGATAACCACAAAATAAATGGCGTCCAGGGCACTCCAGCCTTCTATGTGCTTGAATATGATCGCGGGCAGAGCAACGAAGAGCACGCAGCCGAACAGTATAAAGATGATGGTTGAGATGATGCGAATCTTGGTCTGACTAACGTTCCACTTCTAGGGAAGAGAGAGAGAAGGAAAGAGGAATTGACTGAGATTAATGGATTATCGGTGCATGCACAAAACTAACCTATATACCGTGTTATCAGCAAATTAGCAAGTGCAAAGGTTGTTTTCTTCATTTTCTTGATTTTTTTATTGTCTTTATAAGTAAAGACAAAATTGGGTATAACATAAATAGCTCAAAGCACTCAATGCTAATAACGATGCCACTTTTCTCTTACATAGCTTTACAACGGGGAAAATAGTCTCAAAAGTAAAATTACATTGGCTCTGAGAATACAATTCTAGGTTTACATAATTCTTTTGGTTCCCTGAACTACTCCTAAAATATTTCTATTCCACAGGCATACAACTGATTGCTGCATAAACACAATCTAGAAATATATGAAAAAGGGAAAAAACTGAACCATGAATTAAATATTGACTACTGATAATTGATAAAATTACTTCCCCCACTCCTATCACATTTTCCATTCATTATTCAATTGATTCAAGCGTAACAGTAATGGACTTAAAGTTCAGAGTTGATTGCCATGTGACCCAGATGCACTGTGTCTCTGCTCTATGACCTTCAACCACAAAACTGAACATGGCAACGGTGATACGTTAGCGAGGATCAGTCTCCAACCGCCCTCAGCTGCAGCTGTCATCAGATTGCCCAACTTCTTTCACCTCTTTCTCTTAACAGGAACCTCCACCGTGTGACGTTAGATCAAGTTCATAATGAAGGCAGTTTACCTCCAGATCTCCTTTTGAGATTAACCACCACACATTTTTCATCTCTAAGTCTGTCCCATCTACTGCGAAAAGCATAGGTCACAGCCCTGCACCGTAGAAGAATGACTGAACTTTGGAGGCTGAAAATTTTCTAGAAATAAAGATCTATGAAACCACAGAATGGACAGTGAAAATAAAGTTTTCTTAGCCCACCATCCATATCACATATCTGAGAGTAAAAGAAATCTCATTTGTAAAGTTCTTAGAAGTGTTTAGTACTAAATGCTGAATCACGTCTGCTGGACTCTATTCACTAATAGGGCGCAGGATTTGTTTTATACAGCGATGTAGGGGCAGCACCAAAAATACTACCCAGCATCCCGTAGGCACCCAAAACTCTGTTGAACAAATGAACAATTCAGTACTACCAAGTTTATGCCACTAACCCCACTTCTCAATTAATATAAATGCAAAGTATTTTTAATATCAATATAAGAGAAGTATAATGCCATAAAAAGGATTAAACTTCTGTTCTGGAACAACTATACCTCCTTCATTCTAAATACTTGAGAGTGAACTTTGAACTTAAATATGAAACATAAGTCATGCTAAAAACTGGAGCTATAGTTTAAACTAAAAAACAATATTCAATAGTCTTATTTCATCCATAGAGTAAAATGTTTTGTCAAAAAGTTTGTGAAATTATAAAACATTATTGAATAATAAATAAAATGTATTTGTAATAGTGGTAACAGTAGTAATAAACCATATGTAACCCCATTCCTAACACAATCATTTCCTGGATCCATAATTATTTTCAAGAATAGAAGTTTATAATTATGATGATACTATTATCATCTTTTACTCCAAATTCTAATGGAAGCATTTTCATTTTATTTATTTTTTTCTATTGAATCTATGGCTATGAACATCCTCATCTAGATTACTGTAGGTTCTACTGAATTACATCCCAAATTCTAATGGAAGCATTTTCATTTTATTTATTTTTTTCTATTGAATCTATGGCTATGAACATCCTCATCTAGATTACTGTAGGTTCTACTGAATTACATCCCTTAGATAAATTTCTATCAATGACATTACTGAATTAAGTTATATAATCACCTTCATTGTGTTTGCTGTATATTACTCTGTTCTTCACAGACGGGCTATTTAAGTTTACAGTAACCAAGGGTACCGAAGTAACTTTTAAATAATGAGATGCTGTCAGTTTTTACTAGCTATGTTAAGCTTTAACCTATATTTGCTTATGAGTACCTCTGACTTTTACAGTAATACCTCATCATCTGTATCATTATTCACATTAAATAAATGACAAAACGGAGAACAGAGGTAGGAGACAATATAGCTGAAAAGTCTGAACTTGTGACTGTCAGATTCCTACTTTTTATGCATATTTTAGGGATTTTCGCATGGATCCATTTATTCACTCAGGTAAGTATAAAAATAACTACACAGTGCTAATAGGAGTACCTAGAAATCGTTATGGAAAATCCAGTAATGAATGTCTAACTGCACATTTAGAAGCTAATAGAAAGAGTGTAATATTTTAACAGATTAAACAATAAGTACAGGTAACTAAAAGGCTATCATACTTACAATAAACGTATCTTCCACTTTTGCAATCCCTTTTCCAAATATGGTCCCTAGTTGGTCTCCAACTCCAGCCAACAAAAAGCCGAAGAGCGGAATTCCCAGTAAGGCATAGATGATACAGAATATTTTGCCCCCTTCTGTGCGAGGTGAGATGTTTCCAAACCCTAAATACATTAACAACAAAAAAAAAAGAATTCAGTTGTTTATAAGAGTAGTAGTTTAAAACACATGACTTCAGGGTTGATTCAAAAACTCCTAAATATTATATCAGTCATAAATTTCAACTAGTTAAGAATCTCTTTGTTTTACATAAATTTTAATATATATTTTTATAATATGTTTTATTGATTATGCTATTACAGTTGTCCCATTTCCCCCCTTCACTCCCTTCTACCCTGCACAGCCCCTCCCACCCACATTCCCCCCCTTTAGTTCTTGTCCATGGGTCATTCATGGGTTGTTCTTTGGCTTCTACATTTCCCATACTATTCTTACCCTCCCTCTTTCTATTTTCTACCTACCATCTATGCTACAATAGATGATTGAAATGTTTGCTTATGAGTGCTTTATACTAAAATATAAATTTTTATATTTTATATATTTTATATTATATAATATATCATATATAAAATATATGATAAAATATAATATAAAATATCATAAAATATATGATATATTATATAATATATAATACATTTATATTATATTTTATAATATATATATTAATATAAAATACTCATAAGCAAACATTTCAATCATCTATAAGGTATAGCAATTGTTCCAATGAAACTAGATAATGGAAACTGAGGGGGCAGCACGGCAATAAAGCAAATATTTCCATTAAATGTACTTCTGTCTCTCTATACTGACAATCCTGTTGGCAATAAGGCTTTCATTGCCATCTACTGAAGAGAATGCATTGCTTTAATGGGCTAGGATTTGGTTGTGTTAACCATACAGTTTCTCCCCATAATGTTTTCTTCTTCCCCTTCCTTCTACTCAGTCCGTTTGGTGTTTATTGCTATCAATTGAGGGTTTCTCTTAATGTAACTAAATTTCAAGAACTTTGCCTTTTTTTATTAGCCTGCTTTTGTTCCATGAATATAATAATTATATTCATTTCTTTGTGGGATTTTTTTTTGGTCTTGTACTATATATTAACTCAATTCCTTGAGAGAAGTCCTATGCTTTTTATCATTGGGTGAATTTCCTCAAGTGTTTGCAAACTCCTGGCCATGTGTTCATCCTTGTAAGCACAGTCCAGTGCTACATTGGTTAGTGCTGTGGCTGAAATGCGTTTGGGACGGAGCATCATCTCTGTCCCTTGTCCAAGAATAGAACCTAACAACTTCAACCCCGTCCTGTGTTCCAACATCAGTAAGCGAAGCATCACAAACAGTAAGTCCTTGTCAACTCAGCAGGGTGGACTGTTTTGACCTGAGTTGTCTGATTTTTCCAGAGAGTCCTGCTAAGATCCGACACTGTTCTTTATTGCCTCTCCAGATAAATAACTACACGGCATGAGGTAGGGCAGGCGTCTGAGTTACCCTATTCCATCCCTTTTTCTCTCTGCACAAGAGGACAAATATCTTCAGTTACATCCATAAGAAGTAACCTACCTCCCAGAAGGATCAGGATCAAACATACAGAAACAACATTTTTTAATGTTGACTGTGGCATCACTATAAATAGGTTCTATTGTTTAAAGTATAAAAGCATAGCTGTCGAGGGCTCCATTTGATCTACATCATGCAAGTTAAGGAGGCATAAGGAACAAGAACTCCAAGTTTTCATCCTTACTGGCTCAGATTCAGCCCAGAGGCTACTGGAGCAGCTTCAGATAAGCTGGCAGAGAACTTCCCTAGGAAGTCTGTTTACATCACCCATAAAATGGACCCAAATCCAAAGAGAGTTGTAGATATAACATCTACCTTTCATTGATCAAAAAAATTGAGACCATCCCTTCCGGCATCCTCTCCACACTGCATTTTTATTTATCTCTGTAACAAAGTCAGCAGGAGGAAGACAGAAGGGAGCAGGGATGAGGGAGCCTGATGCTTCTTCCCCGAGTGCCTTCTGCTTCACTGTCCAAGCAGTTCTCTCGCCATCATCATGCTGAGCTCCGTGGCTGAACCTGTGCCCCAGGACCGTCATTCCGCCCTCAGTCACCTCTCCCCAGCCCACTCACACAGAGGGACCCAGAAGCATTCTGATGCCTACAGGTCGCCACACACTTCCCTGGGTGACAGAATCAAGTGGCTTTTGTGGGGGGAGGTGACAGTGTCTCTGTTCTCTTCCCCTCTCTTCCCTGTATGAAGAAAGAGTAGACTACCCTCCCCAGAGTTGCCGCGTGTTCCAACCAGTGAACAGGCACTAGTGAAACGCCTTGATGCTATTAATGGATTTATGGGCCTCAGATGAAAGGTATCTGGTGGCTAAGCCACAGTTTGTCAAACTTTTAAAATATTAATCTCTGAGGCTGTCTGGACTTTCTGGCCCTTTTCCCTGGCCAGTTGGCAGCATCTTCGTTGCCTCCAGGTATGACAGACTCTTAGAGCAAGAAGGAAAGAAAAAGGAATAATATTCTGGTTTCTTTTAACTCCTAAATGAATATTGTTCCCACTCAAAATGTTCCTCCTTGAGAAGGTAGCTATTAGTTTATGACATCGCATCTGCATAGCGAGAGAGTTTCCAAAGAGCTGGAGGGCATAGGCCAGATTGAGGAAGGCTGGGGCACGGCCCGGGAGGAGGTGAGTTAGAGCAGAGACTAGAGGCTGGTGGCGGTGGAGGGGGGCATAAAGGGAGGGGTTCAAGGGTGCCCCAGAACTGGCTTGAATTTCAATTGTTAAATTTTAAGGAATTTTGCAAGTTAGCTGACTTCACATTCATAGCTTGAAACCAGCTATAGAAGAATATATTTTACACTGAAGAAATGAACAGGCACCACAATTGAGGGCTTTTCTTCCCTCTACCACCTACTATTTACCAATATATTGCAGCATAAAATAGAGTCAAATGTGAGGCCATGCCATTCACTTGGATGGAAGCCAAGCCAATGCCTGTAAGCCAACTCTTGGCATCTACATGCGCACATCACACAGAACAGCTATCATCTCTCCTTCACGTTGCCTCCAGGGAAGAGCCTTTTAGACACAGCTGCTGCAATGCCATTGCAAGAAGACTACTTAGCAGAAGGCTCATCTATGCCATTCCATCCGAACAGTCTCAAGAGGACAGTTCATTTTTTTTGACATAATTTATTAATACTACAGATAAATAGTGCTCTCCTTCAAGCACTGTAAATATTTGTAGTTATTTAATTATTTGTGTCAAAGTAATTAAACAAGGAAGCCATTAGACTGAAGCAAACCCAAAGCTACGGCAAGCTAGTAAATGCTCCAAGGTTAAGAAACCAGAACCTATGGACAAGCAATCACAAAGAGCCAATGAGGCTTTCCCACAGAAGGCAACCCCTTAAGCTACAGCCAATCAGAGAATGTCTTTGCTTTGTCTCCACTTCTTCTCTATGAAAGTCTTTCCGTAGCTCCTGTGAGTCGATCCCTTCTGAATACGTCTGGTTTGACACAGTTCAACTCAAATCTGGTTTTGCTCAAATGTACTCTTAACAATTTTTAATATGCCTCAGTTTATCTTTTAACATTTGCAACAGTTTTAATGTCTATTTGACTTATGTTATATAGAGATATACACATATTTATGTCCAAGTAGCTTGCTACTTACTATAATTGACAACCAATAAATATTTCCTGACATAAACCTTGCAATGCTTTAGGAAGACGATAAGGATAACGAAAAACATACACATGAATATGTTTCTGTGGGGGAACTCATAAAAAATTAAAATAGCTCTTCCATTAATTAATAAACAGTACTTTGCAATCAAAACAATTTAGTTTTTTAAATTTTACAACTTAATAAAATGATTCTAAAACTCATCTAGAATAAAATGAACAATAGTAGCCAATAAATATTTAAAAAGAAAACTAATATAAAGTTTACTTCCAAATTAAAACGTTGCTATCTATAGTTTTAATTAAAATTTTGTGGCAAATTCAAACACAAAAACAGTAGAAACACTGGAAAAGTTCCCAGCATGTAAATGAATTGAATATTTGATAATATGATATTTCAAATCCATTTAGAAATTCATTATTCAATAAATAGTAATGGGGCAAGTAGCAAGCTACTTGGAAATAAATCAAGCCCCCACTTCACATTACACACTGAATATTATCAGATGGATTAAATTATCAAGTATTTTTAAAAATATGTTCATAAAAATGTTACTAAGACAGGAGAGTACTTCTATAAGGGTAACTCCCAGGGCAGAACCGTAAGGACAACGAGAGATAAACATGACCACACAGAAACATAACGATGCTGTGTGGGGGATGAAGAGCACAGACACTGTGGAAAGGCCAGACGTTCTTACTGAAACAGTGTAGAGAGAACCGAACATCCCTAACTGGTCCTCCCGGGCTTCCTCTTGAAGCGGCCTGACTTCGTCATCTTTGACTTGTGATTGGTCCTAATTTCGTCTTTCACCACAACTATTTAACCTTAGATTGTCATTGCAGAATGTACCCATTGCTGGAAAACTTCAAAGATTCACAATGATAAATTGATAAACCCAAAATACCTTATTGGTTGAGTATCCTTGGGATATTTACTGAAAGCCTGTCAAATGGCCAATTTTCACAAATGAGTTCAGTTCCACTGAAAAATGTCAGGCTCACCTGTAATTAGCAATTCTTTTGTATAACAGTAGCCTCTCTCTCTCTCTCTCTCCCCACCTTGCCCCCCATTCTCCTTCTTCTCTTCTCTCTCAAAAATCAGTAAAATGAAATGCCTTATAAAAGTGGCCAAGTTAGGTCCATTCAAATGCTAACACTATGGAGAAAGCAGAACTGCTCTCAAAATGCAGCATTGAAGCTCTGAAGGTAGAACAGACCCAAGAAGAACCTTGGAATAACTCTACTCCTGGACAACTGTACTAATGTACCTTATCAAGAAATTCAGCAAGGACTCAAGTGTAAATGAACAGTGAGGAGTAAAAGGAAATGAAAAAGAGAGTAGAATATAAACTATCCTACTAAACGTGAGCCTCTACACAAAAGTCCACAACTACAGCAACAGCTAAAAA